TTAAAAAAAAAAAAAAAGAGTTGGAGGCTTCACCGACTCAGTCACCCAGGCACTCCTGCTATATTTTATAACACATAATAAGAACTATGCTCTATATGCTAGTCTCTGATTTCCTTCTGACATAAAGACTACGTCCTTTAAGAGAGGTGCTATTACTCAGCCATAGTCCGAATGCTCTGCCTAAAGCTGGCTCGCGGTGCTGCAGGAAACCAAGCCACTCACCATCTCAAAGTCTGTGCCCACGAGGCTGCTGAGATACTCCTTGTGCCGGCCATAAAGCTGAGGAAACAAACCATATGCAAACTCAAGATGCAACCCCAGCCAGCCCAGGGTCAGTTCTAAATGGGAGGGAGAAAAGACGCTGTAACGGGAAATGCGACAGAGAGCTGGAGGCCGAAGCATCCAAGCCACCTACATTTTAAAGTAAAGCACAGAGGCTCTGGAGTCTGCTGGTCTGGGACCCAGTCCCGTCTCTTGCACTTACAAGCCCCATGACCTTGCTTAGCTTTTCAATCTCAGTTTCCTCATTTATAAAATGGTAATAACAAAAGTATTCACCTCAAAGTGATAAAATAAAGTACGTGATAGGCCTTACAGAGCATGGTAAATGCTCAAATAAATGGTCATTGTAATTATTATTATGTTAGAGTATGATCAAAAGCTTCGGTCTGATATGTCAGCAATGCATCCTGTATCAGGAGAGGGCCAGTAAGAAAGACCCTGCAACTGCGGACATCAACCTCGGACATGGTCTCAGCTCCCAGGCTCCCAGGCTCATCCCTGCACTCAGAAGGAAGTTGCTCTCACATCCTTGAACACGCGCTGCTCCCGCTCCTCCTCCTCCGGCCGCGCGAGGGAGGACACGCTGTCCACCGTATACTTCCACAGCTCCTGCTTCTCCCCCTCGGTCTCCATTCTGTAAGGTCAAAGCCACAAAAAAGACCAACTCTGATAAGAAGAGATGCGTCTCTCCAGACCTAGCCCAGGGATAAACCACCATTGGCCATACACCTCGCTCGAAGCAAACGAGGACGAAAGTGGCCAGAACGATGAGCAGGTGAGGGAAACAAAGTGGAAAAGCAGAAAGGGCATTAGAGTGGACATGGAGCATAGGTTTGGGGCCCATTTCTGCCTCAAAGTCATGGGGAAACCCTAAAGCACAACATTCCTGGCACCCAGTTCTCTCGCCTGAAAAACAGACAGGTAGGCTTAGGTCATTTCTAACTATAGTTCTCTCACTGTAAGACACAGAGGTAGGAACAGTCAGGCCAGGGGCGCCTGGGTGGCTCAGTCGTTAAGCGTCTGCCTTCGGCTCAGGTCATGATCCCAGGGTCCTGGGATCAAGGCCCACATCGGGCTCCCTGCTCTGCGGGAAGCCTGCTTCTCCCTCTCCCATTCCCCCTGCTTGTGTTCCCTCTCTCGCTGTGTCTGTCAAATAAATAAATAAAATCTTAAAAAAAAAAAAAAAAAAAGCAACAGTCAGGCCAGAGGAAGAGATCCGCCTGAGCTCATCCCGCCCTGTTCTGGCCGGTCCCTACAGGCAGCAGCACAGAGAATTATTTTCACTTAACTACACCACTGAAGTTAGCCCTTTCAAATTGGTATAGCTGCCCACTTTCTGAGAACAGAGTCCCCAGGATCCTAAGGGTCTGTTATAAAACAGAATATGAACCACTGGCTGGGAATTTAGAAACCAAGGCAGATGAAAGACTTTCTCAGAATCTCCTCAACTCGGGGCAAGAAGTGAAGCCAAGGGAAGGAATACCATTCCCCCTCCGCCTTTCTTCCTCTCACCTGTAGGGTCCTTTGAGGCCGGTGAAGTCAGGTTTTACTGTGATCACACCATTGCTGTCCACTTTCAGAGTACAGAGGACATGTTCATACTTCTTATAGCCAAGCCTAGACACCAGGAAATCAACACCCAGGTTCAGGACCGCTGGTCCCGCTAACCAGAGAGAGGAAGAGGTAGTCAGCCCACATCAGGGGAGAGGACAGAGGCTATAGTGAGAATTGTCATAGTCAAATTACCTTTTTCTGAGGACGACTGAGAAGAAAAAGAAGAAATAGTCCCTCCCTCGCGCATTCCCCAGGGGGACTACAACAGGGTAGGTGACGGGTGACGGGGGAAGAGGAGGAGGATCTGAGCTGGGCGGTGAGGGCCTCACTCACTTCCCATAGGGCCCCAGGTCTGCCATGATGTACATTGTCTGAAGAGGGGTGTTGATGACATGGTTGTTCCTGACAAACTCTTCTGAGGGTTCCCAGGTGACAATTCGTGACTTGAGGATGCCACCTTCCCTGGAAGACACCACAGGAAGGTGGCACCCCCTGAAAAGCCCAAAGAAGGCACCTGGGGGAGCACACCCAGGGGAGGCCTCCTGCAGAACGGGAAGCTCAAGGTGGCAGACATACCCAGACACTGGCCTGGAAGGACTATGAAGTCCCCCCCAACCCCCTACTCATTTACACTCACATCCCTCGCCTGTCCTGCCGTCGCCGCCTGACATTGGCCATTCGTTCGACCAAGAATGATGGCACCTCCCGGGCTGCGGTGGTCATTTTCTGACAGTGCTAGGAAAAGAGAGCAGCCCTGTGTGACCCATCTGGTCAGGGCCCCGTGGGATCAGGTACTGAGGCAAGTCTTGCTTCTGAAACCCCATCTGGGACCTGAATCTAACAGGCCACAGCCACCTCACAGTTATACATGTCCGGGGAGGGAAGCAGGGGCACAAAGAAGCCAGAGAAGATTCCTACCATGCCTTGGTTTGTTCCAAGATTTTGGCAGCACCTTCTCCTTCAGAAATGAGTTTATTTGTGCTAACGTTACAATGAGTCTGCAGAAGCACCTGGTGGCGCAGTCGGTTGAGTGTCTGACCCTTGGTTTCGCCTCAGGTCATGATCTTGGGGTCCTGGGATCGTGCCCCTCGTCGGGCTCCACGCTCAGCGCTGAGTCTGCTGGAGATTTTTTTCTCTCCCTCTGCCCCTTCCCCACAATGCGTGCACTCACTCTCTCAAATAAATCTTTTTAAAAAAATAAGATGAGTCTGCAATCTCTGAGTACATACCAACAAAAAGTTGGGTGGGCGTGCCTGGTAGATGGTGATGTTACCAGGTACTTGGAAGATGCCAAATGGGATACAAAGTATCCTGTGAAAAGTCCTCCCATGGGTACTTCAGCACTAACTAATTTCATTTACTTTTCTAAAACAGAAAACCCGAATTTTATATGCTACCAACCCAGAGCTTTCCTAGCATAAGCATCAATCTTTCAAAAACACTCATTTAATACCTGCTCCTTGCAGAGCTACAAAGGTCACAGACAAAAATCAGAAAATGCAGGCCCTACTCTCAAGGAGTTTAAAATCTCCCTAGGAAAGAACAAGTCATACAGGGACTGAGGCAAATATAAGGGTATGGGAGCACAGGCGAACCCATAGACTCAGAGTTGTGGTTGCATCCCCTGATGAGTTTTATCTAGATGGTTCGAGACTCCACCCAGCTGTCTCATCTCATGATGCATGGAGGAAGTCTTGTCCCGGTCTCTAGTCTGCCTGCCATGAGAGACACAGCCCACTCCCCCAGGCCCTCCAGCAGGTGGAAAAGCAGCACCAGCCATGCCACCTGAAGGCCACGCCCGCTCCACTCCAGCTGGGCCGCCAGCAGCACAAGGCAGTTCCTAGATAGGCTGTCTGTCTGAACAGGCTTCTGGTTTAACACACAGAACCCAGAGGCCAGAAAGCTAGGGGAGGGAAAGGAAGCTCTGAGGCTCCAGGAAAAAAAAATACCTCCTCCACATTGGTGTATCTGTCAGAGTCCGTGTAGGTAAAAATTCGTCGGTTCTTCCTGCCACCCGAATCCTCCAGCTTCAGGATCTCTTGACGGTACTGGTGATCCAAAGGGCTCTGACAGGCTGCTTCATTTCGGTACAGATCTACTTCAAACTGAGGTCACAAGGACACAGAGATCTACTGAGAATATGTCAAACTTTTTTCTTGTAACTGTTTCATCAAATCAGTTCCATAGAGCTGATGCAATTTGGCATGTTTCCATAGCCAACTTCCACTTATCTGAACTGACTGAGGGCAGGGGATCCAAAGAATGTTAGAGCTAAAGGGAACCAGAGTGAGAGTCTAACCCAACTCTGCTGTTAGAGATGGCAGATTTCACCCAGAGGTGAAAAGTGTTTTACCCAGGATCATAAAACTGGGTAGTGTCAGTCACTATACTATACTGCCCTTTAAACACAACAGAGGGGTGGGGCGCCTGCTCAGTTGGTCTTTGGCTCAGGTCATGATCTCAGGGACCTATGATCGAGCCCTGTGTTGGGCTCCCTGCTCTGCGGACAGTCTGCTTCTCCCTCTTCCTCTGCCCCTCCCCCCAGCTCATGCTCTCTCTCTCTCTCTCAAATAAATGGATAAAATTAAAAAAAAAAAAAAACACAACAGGGGAAAGTATAAACTGCTATAACTTTCTGGAAATCAGTTAGGCGATATGTACCAGGAATCCTTCCCTGCTACCAGCCAGGTGGAGGTGGAGCCAGTGGAGGTAAACTGGATGGAGAAGTGGCACATGGGCTCACCTGGCTAAAGAGCTTCTCCTGCCACCCAATCACGACCTCTTCCTCTTCCTCTTGCTCTGAGCGGTGTCCACCTCCAAAGACCACAGAGTGAGTCAAACTTTTGAGTCAAATTGGCACCACTTCTTGCTCTGTGATTGGTAATAACCCAAGTCCCTGCTCTAATATTTCCCACAAAATCAGCTGGAGTTTGGGGATTTATTAAGCACTCACTCTAAACAAAGGTTAGAGAGGCTGTGCATATATGTAGAAGCCAGGATTAGGACCCAAGAAGTCTTAATTACTACTCTAATTTGAATAAAAGGAAGTCATGGCTCCCAGGAATTAATCTAATTCAGTGCCAGGAGTCAAATTCAGGATATAGGCTAAATAGCTCTTCCTCAATCCCAACTGTCCACATTTGCTAGAAAAACACCCTGGCGTTCTTGTCTTTACTGTTCATGAAGCCATATGTCTAGAACCACAAGCACTGTAACCTTAGGAGACCAAGTACCAGAAGAGAAGAGGAAAGGCAAATGAATTATTAAAGAACCAAATCGAATACACTCTTGGCTGAGTATGCCTTTTTGAGACACATGCTTCATAACCCACCAGCCCACACTCTTGCCAGGGAATATATCTGAACAGATAAAACAAATGCAGAGAGACTAGTGATTTAACACAAACACGCTGTCCTCTCTTTCTCATTCTTCTGGCTTCTGAGACAAGGAAACTGCGAAAGCACAGTTGATGTTAATATGTACCTTTTTCAAGCAGACCCCAATTTTAAAATTGTTTTAAGTAGTGTGCATAAATATATATACATATTTAAAGTAACATATACTATATACATGTATATAGTATACACACACTATGTATATATGTATGTATAGTACATACATATATGTATAGTATACACATACATTAGGAGTTGGGAGCATATTTTCTCTTAGGAAAAAATGCCACAATCGGTATTTAGTTTGCCAGGCAGATTTTTAACATATCAAAAGTATAGTCTTTTGTTATTTTACAACATTTGACCACAGTCTGGATCAGTTCCTGATGGCAAGAATCATGTCTTGATCAATTTTCTTAACACAACATAATGGAGTAGTTAAAATTGCTTGGGATCAAATCCTTGCTTCAACATATACCAGCCATGTGACCCTGGGCAAGGAACCCAACCTCTCTATGCCTTTTCGCAGACTACAAATCTGGGTCTACTCTGTCTTAAAAGGCAACTACCGCCCCAGGCCCTTCCCCAGGTCCCCAAGAGGCCGCATCACCACCATACACCCACTGGCGGTTGGGTGAGGCCTAAAAGTGGCCAAGTCTATGAGGTCTTTCCCAGGCTGGGCAGCAGGCTGGTAACGGAGGAAGTTGCTGGATGTGATTCTTTGCAGGTGGACCCTGTCAGGAAAAGAAAAGCCCGGAATACTCATTACAAGACACACAATCTGAAGATGAACACAGAGCAAAGATGGGGGAAACAAAAGAAAGAAGGTGGGGCTACCAAGGTGTGTTGGGTGCACGTGCGCGCGGCCGGGGGTCTTAAGGGGAAGAGTGCGGGTAAGTGTATTGGGTACAGAGCTCTGAGGAATTTGAGACGGGCAGAGACTTGAAAAGGGCGTGGGTAGGTCTGGAAGCCGTGAGTGGAGAGGGTTGAGGGTAGTGAGGGAGACGCGGGGAGACCAGGAGGCAGAGATCAGGGTTGAAAGCGCAAGTGGGGACTCAGCAAACAAGAAGTGAGGTTCAGGCTCGAATTATCTGAGAGCATGAAAGCACAGGACTCTGGGACGATGCGACTACCGGAGGCGCAAGTTGCGCACGGGGTCCCGGGAGCGATACACAGCCTCCCCGGTGTCAGTGCTCCAGACCGTCTCCGCCATGACAGCTGCGACTCGCCGCGACAGCGCCGGAAAGCGCACCGCCCCCAGTTCCCCTGGCAACAGGGACGCGGGGTTCGGGAGGCGGCCGAGGTGCTGCGCGCGCAGCCTAGGGTTCCCGGCACTGCGCTGCCGCAGCGCGCCCGAAGCGGGCCCGGCCATGGCAGGGCGCCTAAGCGCGGTCAGGTTGGGGTACTGCGGGGTCACCGCTTACAACGTGTGCGACAAAGCTCGCTCACACGCAAGACCGGACTTGATGCACTTTACAAATGAGGGAACCAAGGCAGCGCCATCGGCCCCTATCATGTAGATCGATGGGGACAGGACCCAGGTGACCTGAGTCCTGGATTCGCCTTTTCTCACCACGCCACACTGCCTTCCACTGAATGCTCAGAAACCTTGCCCTGAAAATCGGTGGATGTGACTCACAGAATGCACCCATTCTTCCCAAAGGAATCAGGGAAGGCGTTGGCGCTTATTCAGACATGAAAATATATTCTTGGAAGAAAACAAAAAAAGTGTCAGGAGTTATTAGTCCTTGTGTTGGTATTCACTGAGCCAGAGGAAGAAGAAACAAGGAAGCTAACAGTAAGGAAGGAAAATTTGTTATTATTGAATTTGTTATTATTGAAGGGTTTTTCCCCCTGTATGTGTCAGTTCCGGATTTTTAAGCCACCTTAAGATACTCTACTGGCCTCCTGAAAAGTCAACAAAGTGCTATTCAGAAGTCATGCTTCATTGGACTGTCAAAGCAAGTCTCATCATAACCTGGAGTCTGGCTCCCTGGCACCTTGGGGTATGTCAACAGTTACCAGCCTTTGACATTTGTCACTCCCTCAAGAGAGTAAGCAGTTGTCCTCTGAACTCAGTAATCTCATGCCAGTTTGATTATATGGCATTGGGAGTCCTGGGCAGCACGGCTGCTGTTGTGTAACACCAAGGACTCACCGTAATAAGAGCGCCATTTACGTGGGATCTAATACAGCCTGGGCGCTCTGTTTGCATTGTCCCTAATCCTCGAAGAAACCCCTTAAGTAGGCATTGTTATTGCCATTTAATGGATAAAGTCAAGGAAGGCCAGGGCTTAAAGGGTTTGCTAGGGTTGAACTCTCCTAAGGGGTGAAGGAGCTGGGATTCCAGCCCAGGTCCGTCTTTTGAAGCCTAAACACCTTCCGCTCTGCCTTGCAGCCTCTCACCTACCACTGAGCTCTTTATTCCGTAAGAGCACGCAGTCTCCAACGTGAGAAATAATTATTTCAACAGATGGAACTATGGAGGCTTCAGAATACTAGCTCTTAAGAAATGGTCTAATTTTTCCTTTTCTTTTTTTTTTTGGTTGAAATTTTTATTTTTATTTTTTTGATTATTAACATATAATGTATTATTTGTTTCAGGGGTACAGGTCTGTGATTCATCACTCTTACACAATACACAACGCTCACCACAACACATATCCTCCCCAGTGTCCATCACCCAGCCACCCTCTAATTTTTCCTTTTAAAATTGTAAATAGACGACACTATGCCACATGAACAACAAATGACAAAGGTGGAGCATGCATCAAGAGTTTAGTTTATAGCCAAATCAAACTTATAGCAATGTCAATCTGACATAATTATAAGAAAAATAGGTACTGTATCACATGGCGTGGAAATATAAATTATTTAAGGAACCATAATTGAATTATTTTTATACTGATAAACTAGATTTTTATCTTTTCTCTTTGTTTACTGGTTATCTGTATATCAGGATTCTTAAAACGGGGGTCCATGAGTGAGGTTCAAGGGATCTGTGAACTCTTTCCCTAGAATTTTGTGGGGTGCATTTTCTGGAACAAGTTCATGGCTTTTATCAGATTCTGAAGGAGTTCATACTGTAATATGGAGAATGATGTGCTCCCCGCCACACTTATATACTAACATCTTGTTAAGAGTCAAAAGTTTGGATTACACGGGCGCCTGGGTGGCTCAGTTGGTTAAGCGACTGCCTTCGGCTCAGGTCATGATTCTGGAGTCCCGGGATCGAGTCCCACAACAGGCTCCCTGCTCAGCAGGGAGTCTGCTTCTCCCTCTGACCCTCCCCCCTCTCATGTGCTCTCTCTCTCATTCTCTCTCTCGCAAATAAATAAAAATCTTAAAAAAAAAAAAAAGTTTGGATTACACAGTATAAAGGCCAAAATCCCTTGAACCATCACCAGCAAACCTACCACCCTCATCCCCAACCAGGATGGTTCAGAGTTGACAACAGTGTTCTCCCTAAAATAACACCATCATTTGGAGAAATTGTTTCGTTTAGAAAGCACTTGTACAAGCCATCATGAAGGGTTAGTATTATCACCTCCATTTCACATATTTATAAACCAATACATTAATTAAATTTCTCACATGACTAGGAAGCATAGAGCCTGGACTTATATTTAAGATGTTCTGACTCAACTCTGTGAGCTTTCTTTTGAATTGTGCTGCTTCCTTAGATCTACTCCCACCCCAAGTCCTTCCCTAATTTTTTCATACCTAAAGCAGTGCAATGCAGAGCCACATCAGAATAGCCCATCACACTTCCTTTCCCTTCCCCAGTTGGTGCTTTATAGCTCACTTGGGCTGTCCTCACTATAAGACTTCAGGAAAGCATAAGAAAAGGAACATCACTATAGTTCTTCAAAAACTTTTCTGGGTCCTGCAGTGTCCATGCTTTGTGCCTAATAAATATCCCTTGAACTCACCGTGGTTCCAGGAAGAAATCCTCCTGAATGAAACAGTCTTATGAGGAATAAAAGGATTGACTTCTGCTTTACTCTCTCTCTCCCTAACTTTGAGGATGGAGGAAGGGGCCATGAGGTATAAACATTCCAATTATAAATCAGAGATTGTCCGATTAGATTAAAAAATCCAATATATATTGCCTACAAGGAACCCACTTTAAATATAAAGATAGTTTAAAAGTTGAAGGATTGGGGGTGCTCCGGGTGGCTCAGTTGGTTAAGCATCTGCCTTCAGCTCAGGTCATGATCCCAGAGTCCTGGGATCGAGTCACGCGTCGGACTCCTTGCTCAGCGAGGAGCCTGCTTCTCCCTCTGCCTGCTGCTTCCCCTGCTTGTGCTCTCTCTCTCTGACAAATAAATTAATAAATAATCTTTTTAAAAAAAAACAAAAAACAAGGGGCACCTGGGTGGCTCAATCGTTAAGTGTCTGCCTTCGGCTCAGGTCATGATCTCAGGGTCCTGGGATGGAGCCCCACTTCGGACTCCCCGCTCAGCAGGAAGCCTGCTTCTCCCTCTCCCACTCCCCCTGCTTGTGTTCCCTCTGTCGCTCTCTCTGTGTCAAATAAATAAATAAAATCTTAAAAAATAAAAACAAAAGCAGAAATGTATCTGGAAAAGTCCAAGTATTTGGTATTTAACATCTGAATAATTTTTCAAGAAAGAAGTTATAATGGAAATAAGGAAATATCTTGAACTGAATGAAAAGGAAAATACAATGTATCAAAATGTTGGGTATGCTTAGAAGGAAATTTATAGGATAAAATGCTTCTGTAGGGTGCCTGGGTGGCTCAGTTGGTTAAGTGACTCCCTTCAGTTCAGGTCATGATCCCAGGGTCCTGGGATGGAAATCCCATATGGGCGGGCTCCCCCTGCTCTGCAGGGAGCCTGCTTCTCCCTCTCCCTCTGCCTGCCACTCCCCCTGCTTGTGTTCGCAAATCAGTAATCTAAATTTCAATTTTAATAAACTAGGAAGAAAATTAAAACCAAAGTAAGAAGCAGGGAAAGAACAATAAATATAAGAGCAGAAATCAATTAAAAAGAAAACATAAAGACAAAATTTTTTTTTTTAAAGCCACTTCTGGAATGGTAGAGGAAGAATCTCAAAACTGACTTCTTCACAAAAGCCGTGAGAACACTGGCAACACTTATCAACATCAACTTTTTCAGAAATCTAGAAATTAACCAAAGGCATGCAATAATCCAAGGAGCATTTATTCAAGCAAAACAGCCAAATTTCAGTAGGAACAGTGAGATGTGTGGCTTTAATTGTCCTATTTCCTCTTTCCTCTCCCCAGCTCAAGCTTACTGTGAATAGCCTTTTCTCCTGGGCGGGAATGTCAAAAGCAATGACATGGCTTTTGTTTAATATTGCAGTTGCTTAATAGTGCAGCCACTTGAGGTGACGATAATAACTGAAACAACTAAGAAACTAACCGAAAACTTGAAAGGAAAAACTGGGGACTGATGTGCCCATGGGAGTTTTCAAAAGCTCTGATATTATCTTGGAAATCTAGAAGGCCACACACACGTGCAGGGTGGTGTGTATATCCAGGGAAGACATGAGATGCCTGAATCTATTATATCTATATCTATATCTTTATCTATATCTATATATGAGAGATAGCTTATATATGTATAATGTTTGTATGAAAAGAATTTTTATATAAATATGTTCAAAGAACTAAAGGAAACTATGTCTGAAGAACGAAAGGCATGTAATGAAAATGATGTCTCACCAAATAGAGAATATCAGTAAAGAAATATAACTTATTTTTTTAAAAGAAACAATATGAATTCTGGAGTTGGAGAGAACAATAAATGAAATGAAAAATTCACTAGAGAGCCTCAGTAGCACATTAGCACTGGCAGAAGAATGAATCAGCAAACTTGAAGATGGGCCAATTAGTTAATCCCATACCCAGACCTTGGTTTCTAACTACCATACCATTCTCCATTACAAAGCTATCAGGGCTCATTGGAGAAATGATTGATTCCCTGAAAGAAGCAGAATGGAACCTCTTAGGCACCTCTGGGCTGGGGAGTACCCATCAGCCAAGAGCAATCCTGAGATAGGTGCGTGTATGGGCTGTTGACAGTTAACATGCTCAGCAGCTGGTCAGGGGGAGCTGGGCAGGGCACCAACATCTGTTACAAGTACGTTTGAGGGAGGTGATCCTAGGAAACACTGGCATGGGAGTGGGGCTAAACCCAGGCCAACTTACTCAGGGCACTCCTTACCCTAGCCTCTTCCAGGCAGTGTACCAACGTGTGGAATAGGTGGGACCACGTGGGTATTTGTACACTGACA